ACTCTTTCTTATCGTCAAAGAAGACTCAGAAAATATAGCACATGACAGTCCCCAGAAAATAGGATAAGTGAGCAGAGGAAGAGTTGGGAGAGAAAAGATGATTTAGATGGTTAACCTCGGAGATTACAGCTGAATAACAGATTTCCAGAGAGAATAAAGAAACACTGTGGAAAAGAAAATACTGACCCACCGTCTCATCCTTTGGCTACCGGGCAGAGCGGAGGGTGCAAGTGACCGCTTCAGCCCAGTGGGGCAGGAGACACACAGGATACGTTACCTGGAGAGCCATAGCCTGTCAGTGAGCGCCCCCGATGTGAGGTACAGCACAGAAATGAAGGGGTGTGACTCCAGACACAAGGGAGGGAGCCACAACCAGCGCTGGCGTGTGAGGGCAGGAGGTTCAGAGCAGGCGCCCACCTGCGGGAGGCCCGAGGCTGCTCAGCTTCTCAGGAAGTGGTGACTTTGGAGGCTGCCTCACTGACTCAGGCAAGAGCAGGCATGCGAGAGGCTGTGCGGGCCTGGCTGTGCGTGCAGTAGTCTCTAAAGTGGGCTGCTTGAGTACAGATGCCTGAGCCCCGTATGAAGGGGAGAAGACGGGGAGGGCAGGGGGAGAAGGAAGGGGCGCTGTCAAGAGTCAGTGCAGTTCTCCTGGCTTCTAAGGCTAACACAGGAGACTGAAACAAAATCCAGCATGGCAAGCCTGCCACTCAGAGGGTCAGGAAAGAAAGACCTAGAAAAACAGCAGGTAAAGCGGATGCCAGTGGGTGGGTGCAGGGACCCTTAGCAGCCTAGTGGGGAGGAAGGGAGTTTCCAAAGTCGAGGGGGCACTACTTGACTTTTACAAACAATGTGTACACAACAATAACAGAAAGTCAGCAGGAAAGAATGTAGAAAGGCACCAAAGCAGTCAAGCCTCAAATTGTACGTGAGGGTCAGAGAGGGGGTTGCGGGGGTGGGACTCATGTCTGGCTTATGTGAGGTGCTGGCTTTGATTCCTGGGCCCTGGGCCCCCAGCAGCACTGCCCAGAGGGGATCACACAAGTTGAGGAGACGGTTCCGCCAGTGGGTGGCCAGCAGGACAGCCCTGGGCTCTGGGCCCTCTGCCCAGAAGTGCCTCCATCGCTGCCCTCCGGCCAGCCGGGGGGAACCAGGGAATCACATCACGGATGCCAAGAGCCACGTGTTCCCTCACTGAACACACGCTGGCATGCGGGCAGCCCAGCACGGCAGGGGCTGTCACGGAAGACAGCAGTGGGAGGAAGGAGCTGTGGGTGAGGAGAGGGGAGCTGAGCCCAGTGCTCCCCCACCTAACACCGGGGAGTGGCTTCTTAGTTCTCACTGAGGCTAGTTTCAACACAACCATGGGTAACTTTTTGATTACTATTGTGGGGTTGCACTGAGCAGTGCTTGGGGTGATGCCCAGGGCCACACCCGAGTACTGGGGTGGGCAGGGGGCCTGGAATGGAGCCTCGGGCCTACTTCTTCCATTGCAGCCCATCCCAGAGCCTGGCGTAGTTTTCAGGTAGGAATAACCTGGCCAGCAATGTTTCGGATGTGTGATGGACAGACCTGGTGACTGAAGAGATGGTGAGGCCAGAGAGGAAAGTCGAGGCCTCGTCTAAGCCTGGACCATCACCAGAGAGGTGCCACGGTGACGTGAGCCAAGTCCGAGGCGGCCAGTCCCAGGCTCAAAGGAAAGGGGAAGAGTCCAGCTGAGCCCGGGGGTCTAGTGCGTCCCATGAGCCCTGAGGAGACGCCAAAGGAAAATCACCTAAAGGCTCAGAATGGAGGGAAGGCACCAGGCTGGACTCCAGGGAACAACGGCACGGGACAGAGGAGGGGCTGTCTACATGGCAGCAGCCGCAGTGGGCATAGGCCGGCCTGCCAAGAGGGTACTGAAGGGGCAGGTGCCACCCCGGGCCTAGCACAGGAAGCCGGGGAGAAACAGCATCACCGTTGGAATTGGCAAGAAGGGCCAACAAGCGAGGCCTGAGGCCTGAGGTTAGTAACATGGGCTTGGGGGCTCACCCAGACAGAGCCAACACCCTAGTGTTCGATCTGGTAGCTGTGTGGGAAGCTGCAGGATGTGGTGCCTGAGAGAAAGGGACTGAGACACTCCTGTGCCGAACATCTCCTTGTCAAGTCTGTGTTCTCCAGAACATCCAGAAACGCTGGCAGCACTGAGAATGCTCGGAAGTCTGCAGCAACAGGCAGGGCGCGTGATCACCACATCTCAGCGTCAACCAGACAGTCAGCCTCCTGGGGTCACCGACTATCACCTCAGGGAACCGTGACATGAACCGCACAGGCCCCATCATGGAGGCAAGGGAAAAAGAGGAAGCCAAGACTTCCACTCACATATCTGTCAATACCTTCACATAGATTTTCCCATCGGGTCCTCACAAAAGCCTGGGAATTAGGCTGGAATTCATACCCTTGCGCACAGAGAGGAAATCAAGGCAGGGAACACTTCTCTTCAAGGAGACTCTAGGGGCAGTAAAAGCCCACGGACAAAATCTTCTTAATAAACACACCCCAATGCTTCTTAGTTAACACATACACTAAGAGAAACTCGAAACCTGAGAAATGGTGAGGGAAGAAACAGAATGCTGTTTTATAATTCTCATAAAGTTCACCTTAAAAGAAAAACACCGGCATTTTTTACTCTAAATAAAAACAAAATATATAATAACCAGAGGAAAGCAATTTAGTTTGTTTTTTTTTTTAAACAGGAACTTACAAATAAAGTTTCTGGTTGCTTTCCTTTACCAATATTAAACTCAGATCCCTGGTGTGAAATGTTTTGGTACTTTTGGATTCTGCTGTACCTAAAAAACCTTATTTATCAATGTTTTAACTAAGTTAACTTTTCTATTTCAAAAATGAATTATCAATAGATTATTTTATTAATTATAACTTTCTCATGAAAGCAAACAGGCACATTAGGGGAAGTTTTGAAAGTAGGTCTTAAAAAGGAGCCCAGGCACGTCGCTCCTCAGTAACCCGTCCCCTGCATGTGGAACTGTGACTTGCTCTCTGCGCCCCCCCCCCCCGAACCACAGTCCAGAAACAGTCTTTTAAGGGAGTCTATCTCAGTTTTCCTAACTATTTTTCCCTTCCTAATAAAGTAGGCTGTTGCCAAATTCATACTATAATATAATAATGCTTTAACTGAATACAACTTTACTTCCCTTTTACCTCCTTTAGATTAATTGCTCTCAAGTATATTATAAGGTCAAAGCAGATGATAATTTTTAAGACTTCTGACACTCTTTCAAGCAAAGGGAATCGCATTATTGCTGATAATGAGTGAGAATATCTGTCTGTACTCATCAATAATCCGTGAAACTACCTCCATCATTTCACTAGTTTTTGCTGGCAAGTGAAAATATACCCTCCTATTTTTATCTTGCACTCCCCCCTGAGAACTCATGCTTTTCCATTAGATGATAACTGCGCAGAGTTCTTTTGTGAATACAATGCTCATTAACATTTATCAACTGGCTCTCTCTGTAGACTTAAAAAGTCACTTTGTATGGACACTCGATGTTAACCCATGCTTCACAGGCGGGAGACCTGGCAATCCCCGGCACTCTGTGCCCCCTGAGCACCACTGCACGTGGCCTCCATGCACAGAGCTGGAAGTCATCTCCAGAAATGCGGCTGAGCCCCCAAAGAAGCAAAATGTTAACTCAATCTTTACTATGCTGGTAGGAAATATTTCTCCAATTCTTGGTGCATTTAATATGTTTTATTTAACATTTTCTAATAAAACATTAAATGTTTGAATGTCTAATAACATTTAACATATATTATCGCTTTCCCCTGTGATTTTGCTAAGAGAGTTTGGGCCAATTTCCCTTTCCCACATCTTCCCAATATAGTGGTACCTGCTTTGTTTTCCTCTATATTGTTTCCACTCTATCACTTTACACACCCACGTGTGTAAGAAACATCACCTAGAAGACAGATGGATAACAAAGAAAAGATCACTTATCATCAGGAAAATGCATGTGAAAGCAGAATGAGGTACCACCTCATGGTGGCAAGAGTGGTAGGCACATACAAGCCAAACCACAGGAAGTGTCAGGAGGGGGTGCAGTGCTGGCGGGAGGTTAGGGGCTGCTGTGAGACAAAGCACAGGGGGACCTCAGACAGACATTAGAGCTACCACCTGACCCTTTGGCCTACATCTGGGGATTTCATGAAAAACATAAAAACACTTATTCAAACAAAGAGATGGACCCAGACGTTCAGTGCCGTACTATTCATGCAGATGCTGTGAATCAAGATACAGAAACAACCAAGTACCTCACAAAGGATGAGTGGATAAGACAGCTAGTTATCTAGAAACCTTGCTGTCCGTGCCACTGGGTGTGCACCAGGAGGGTACCAGGCTCACAGGGGCTGGCACGTGGCTTGTCGGGTCGGAGCACAAGTTCAGAATATGGGGGGCCCAGGTTTAGGTTTCACCTCCAGGACTGCAGGGTCCCGCAAGCAACAGAGTGTGCCCCAAAAACAAAACAAAAAAGGGAGGACAAATACCCACTAACTGTGCACTTGTGGAAGCAAAGAAATCAAGCAAAGAAACAGAAAACAACCTGTAGGCTGCTGACAATGGAATGGGAGACGGTCAGAGGGTATGGTGGGTAGCAGGGATGTAACAGAGGGTGGTGGGCATGGTGGGCAATATATATACGTAGTTGGGGATGTGAGAAACCTGACACCTAAAATCTACACAGTGCTGTGTACAAATGTGACCTCATTTTTAAAAAGGCAGAGTGACAGTGTGTCAAGGTGCTTGCTTGCCTTGTCTGTGGCTCATCTCCATTTGAACCCAGGCACTGCATAGGGTCTCTCAAGCATGGACATGGGTCAGTCCTGAGCACAGAGTGAGGAGCAAGCTCTGAGCACTGCCGGGTATGGTTCAAATCCCACCCTCCAAGCCCTGGCCCCCACAAAGAATACAGAAAGAAGGGGAGGGGGAAGAGTGACATTACCTGCTGGTCATCAGGCGTCCAGATGCCACATGTGATTTGACTTTCCAAGTTGATCTCGGATGACCAGTGTCTTTGTCCACTAACAGAACCAACCAGGACAAACCCATCTCGATAGGAAATAAGTGCTTGAGTCCCATCGTGGCTCCAAGTGAAATCACTCACCTTTGAAACAAAAGGAGTCGATTTACCCTCCAAAAGGGAAAGGCTTTCATCAAGCATGAAGTCTGATCACTAACTTAGCTTGGATTTCAACCTAGACAGGCTTCAAGAGAACAACAAATCCATACCACACAGATTAGAACAATGGCATGTTTCATATGAGGCATTATTTGAAATGTGTATGTCAATGTGGTTATGCCAAGAGTTTCACAAAAGTGGATTCATTGAGTCTTGCCTGTAAGAGGCAATTACCAAACCCATTTAATGAAAGAAAGAAGGCATAGAGTGAATGGCAATATCCCGGATGACACGTAGTGGTGAACGTCAGGGCTGAGAATGACCTGGCTTATGTTGCTTCGCTGTCCCTGCTTTTTGCTGCTGTCCTGCAGCTTTCCAGTTATGGGGTATTCCACTTACGTGACATTCTCTATCAACATTTCTTGGTTATTTATCAAAATAGGAACGTCCTCTGTTTCTGACTATGTATCTTCCTTGGTCTCACTAACAGATTTAATGAAATGTGAAAAACATTATCTAGGAAAAAAATAACATACTGAAGGTGCTGAGTTTTATTATATATATTCAAACGACCAAAGATTATTTTTCTCTTAAATCTATTATTGCTCTCTTGTCTATGAATTCCCCTTGTAAATCTAGAGGGAGCTCAAGTTGGAGGGGGAGCCCTATTTTCCAGACACAGAGGCTGATTTGCTAAGTGTACAAAAATTCTGCATCTCCTTTCATGAGTAAAACACATTTAATTTTTCACTGTTACATCTCTCTACTCCCTCCCTCCACTTCTCTCTCTCTGAATGAGATGAAGAAAAAGGCCTCTTTATCCATTACCTGAAAGAAATTGTATAAATTTGCATTACCTGCTGCTTGAAATTTTGGCAGAAAACACCTGAAAACAAGTTGGTTTTATGCTTTTGAGTAAAATTTTGAACAACATCTCTGATTTATTTAATAATATGAATAGTAACAACCTTTGAAGTATTTCATTGAGTTATTTCTGGTTGGTTTGGGAGCACACCCAGTGGTGCTCAGGTGTTACTCCTGCACTCAGGAATCACTCCAGGCAAGCTCGGAGGACCCTTAGGAATGTGGGGGATTGAACCAAGCTCAGCCGCGTGGAAAGCAAGTGCCCTACTAGCTGTACTATCACCCCGATGCTATTTTTTTCTTAACTGATCCGGTTCATAGAAATTTTCAAAACTGCTGGCAGATAGTTGTTGATAAAATTTTAAATCTTTAAAAAATTAACTCTGAGATAACTCTCAAGTTTCCCCTGACAGTCAAATGAATTACCATCACACTTGGTCTAAGGCAGAAATGGTCTCATTTCTGACAATAACTGCTTATTTTCCAAGAAAACTGACCGGAACTATAGAGTTTACTCAGTTTTACATACTGCTGCTTTCCTCTCATAATGCATTATGAGATTATTCTGAATCCCTGTGTGCATCAGTTAATTCTTTTTCACAGATTAGTAATATTACATTGTATAAGTATCCCATATTTATTTATCCATCCAAGCTTATGGACATTGGGATACAATGCTTCTAGTATTAGGAAACTTCTAGGAATATTTATGTGCCGAAATGTGGGCACACAGTTCTCATTTCTTTTGGTAAAAAAATGTAGAAAAATCAATTTCTGGGTCAAATGGTATACATATGTATAAGTGCATAGGAAATTACCAACTGGTTTCCTAAAGTGTTTCTGGCATCTGACCTGGGCGTCAGCAGTGAAGAAGCCAAGCAGAGTCAGGCTTCAGCAACACGTGGTATTGTCAGTCTACTTTCTTTCTACTATTTGGTATGCATTAAGTGGTATGACAAATACTTTTTATTTTTCTTTTTCTGGGCGGTGGGCCACACCCAGTGATGCTCAGGGCTTACTCCCGGCTCTCTACTCAGGGGTGACTTCTGGTAGTGCTGGGAACCATATGGGATGCTGAGATTGAACCCATGTCAGCCACATGCAAGGCAAGTGCCCTACCCACTGTACTATCGCCCTGGCCCCAGTTTATTTACATCAATTCTCATTATTGATCTATGTGAGTCTATTTACATCATATTAATTTATTTTCAGTAAGCCCTGTTTTTCAACACATGGAGCAAAAAAATATCCTTTCTCTATAACCTTCACTACTGCTATATACAGAAATGTTCAACTTTAACATTTGTGACATTACAGAATATGTCACTTTTCAGGTAACAGAATAAATGAACAAACTCCAAAAGAACAGGACCTTTTTGCCATTTCCCCAGGGGAATTAGGGCTTTATGTTCAGTTCCATCCTGATGGAGCACGGACTTGCGAGGCTGCTCTGGAACAGCTGGTCTGAGGTCACTCAGAAATGTTTCCTTAGGGGCTGGAGCGACAGCACAGCGGGGAGGGTGTCTGCCTTGCACGTGACTGACCTTGGTTCAGCTCCCAGCATCCCATATGTTCCCCCGAGCACCGCCAGGAGTAATTCTTGAGTGCAAAGCCAGGACTAACCCCTGTGCATCGCTGAGTGGGACTCAAAAAACAATAAATAAATAAATAAAGATAGAATATACAGTGAAAAGTTTGTCTGAGACATTAGCAATCTTATGGGCACAAAAACAATATAGAATGTTCATATGAAGAAACTGGGCTTACTAGATTAGACTGGGGCTGGAGTGATAGCACAAAAGGTATGGCATTTGCCAACCCGGGTTCAATTCCTCCGCCCCTTTCAGAAAGTCCGGCAAGCTACCGAGAGTATCTCTCCCGTATGGCAAAGCCTGGCAAGCTACCCGTGACATAATCAATATGCCAAAAACAGTAACAAGAAGTCTCACAATGGAGACATCACTGGTGCCTGGTCGAGAAAATTGATGAACAATGTGAGGACAGTGCTGCAGTGCTACAGATTAGATTAGGTAAGAATAGTGATAAGAATATATTGTCTGTGTCACTGTCATCCCATTAATCACTGATTACTTGAGCAGGCGCCAGTAGTGTCTCCATTTGTCCCAGCCCTGAGATTTTAGCATCGTAAACTTTATGCTCTCTCCGTGGAAGAAGTATGCCGCTGGATGTCGTTGGGCATAACGGTGATGCGCTTCTCAAGGAATGCACAGAGGTTGGTGTCCTGGAAGAGCCCCACTAGGTAGGCCTCGCACTCCTCCTGCAGCGCTGTGACGGCTGAGCTCTGGGAGTTCAGGTCAGTCTTGAAGTCCTACGTGATCACGCGCACCAGTCGCTGGAACGGCAGGTAGCAGATCTCGAGTAGTGCCATGGCGTCGGGCTGGTAGCGGTGTGGCTTCTTCGTGCCTCCGGTGGCTGGTGCGCTCTTGTGGGCCGCTTTGGTGGCCAGCTGCTTGCGGGGCACCTTCCTGCCTGTTAACTTGCACGCCATCTTATTAGTACGAGCCCTCTCGTTCTTCCCAACTCAGCTGGAGACTCCTTCAGGGTTAGGGAAATGAGACCCATTTTAGCTACTGTTGTTGGCCTCTTTGGTACGTCACGCATGGCTTGCCAGGCTCTGCCGTGTGGGTTGGATACCCTCGGTAGCTTGCCGGGCTCTGGGGGAGGGGCGGGAGATGGAGGCTTTGTGGGCAATCTCTAATCATCCCTGCAGGTGTTCCCAGTCTACCAGATGTAAGCTCCTGGTGACTGGTCTGCTGTAACAATTTGTACACTGACAACACCCGCCTGCCTGCGTCTCTGGGCAACACCTGGGGCATCTGCAGCCTCAGGTTGATCTTGAGATGGAGGGAGTGCACCTAGAGGTTGTTGAATAGCTGGCAGAGCAAGACTCCATCGCATAGGATTTGTGCCAGGTCAAACACCCGAGTCCCAAGTCACTCGGTAGTTGGTGGACAGCATCTTGCAGTGGACAAATCACTGTGTGGGCCACTGTCACTCCTTCGTGCTCGATGGTGTTGTGACTCGGCCAAGCCGCGGAGGCCAGTGATGCTGCAGCCACTGCCACGGTCCCTCCTCGCCCCGCCAATGCCATTCTGTCTTAATCCCACAAAGCAGTCGGTGATGTCCAGCAGGAATCATGCGCAGAGTTCCAGCAGGGATCACACACAGAATTCTATGCTTGGCATGCTGAGTTGCGTATCATTCAGAGCAAGATGGTGAGTCGGGTTCGGGAGAGCACGAAGGGTTATATAATACAGCCAGAAAAGTAAAACTTTGAGATACTGGAGTGATAGCACAGTGGTAGGGGGTTTGCCTTGCACGTGGCCAACTTGGCCGACCTGAGTTCGATTCCTCCGCCCCTCTCGGAGAGCCCGGCAAGCTACCGAGAGTATCTCGCCCACATGGCAAAGCCTGGCAAGCTCCCTGTGACGTATTCGATATGCCAAACACAGTAACAACAAGTCTCACAATGGAGACATTACTGGGTCCACTCGAACAAATAGATGAACAATGGGAGGACAGTGCTACAGTGCTAAAAGTAAAACTGGGAAGCCAAGTACCAAATGCTCTGAAGAGTTAAGCAGAGGGGCTGGAGAGATAGTACAACAGGTAGGGAGCTTGCTTTGCACGGACACTGATTCGATCCCCAAGATCCTATTTGATCCTCTGAGCACTACCGGAGGTAATTCCTGAGCACAGAGCCAGTGGGAAGCCCTGAGTACTGCTGGGTGTGACTCCCCAACGCCCAAAAGAAGTTAAGCAGGAAGCTCCTTCTTCCTGGCTGTGTGAGGTGTAGGGCTGTGATGCTCTTGCCCACTAATGGGAGTTCTCAGACACGGATCAAGTGAGAGGGTGAGCAGCCTGGCCAGCCTGCTGCCCACAGCCGCTTCTCTCTAGCCCATCTGAGGAGCACGTGCCTGGCACAGCCCTTCCTGGTAACCAACATCGTAAAATAATGTATGTACTGTCCCTGGCTGCTATTAATTTTTTTGGGAAAAAATGTACAAAGTATTACTCAGCTATTGCCAAATGTCTGATTACTCCATGACAATGAAAGTTATACTATGAAACCCTGTGGCTTCTCTGATGGTGTTCTTCTGTGAGAGAACTGCAAGACTGTTCTTCCTCCCAGGCCAGAATGATCCCCCCTCCTCCCACTGGACACTGGTGCAGGGCACAAGCCACTGTGGCTTCAGGCAGGAGTGTGGGTATAACATCTTCTCACTCAGATGAGCTCAGACTCTGACACAGTGTTACAAGCCACCAATGATAACTACACCGTGGCAGGGAGAAGCAGAGTTCCAGATCTCTGTGGTTTACAATCAGCATGAACTGCAGAGGTGACTTGGCAGACAGCCATCTGTGAGATTCTAGGTGCTTCCAGATGTTCCATGCAGGCTCATGCATCACCAGGCCTGATTTCACCCTCTTGTCTTACTTCCAACATTCCTGTTTGCATCACACGCTTGGTGAAAAGGAGAGCGTGAGGTGGCGTGATTCTACCCGCTGCGCTGTGATCTGCAGAAGGCAGAAGGTTGCTCCTCAGCGCGGCGGAGTGGGAAGAAAGCAGCGTGGCTGCAGCACTGCCTGGCAGGGAGAGCCCGTCTCTAACTGCAACACAGTCTTGGATGTGCCATGAAGCCGCCTGTCTCCACAGAAGCGAAAACAGCTTCTTGTCTGAGAAGAAGAGAGTGTGACGGGCGATATCAGTTCATTTTGGCCGAACTCAGACTGGGGTCCGATTCTGGTTCCACTCTCCATGAATGTTCTCGGTCAGCTGTCCCCTGACCATGGCTCTGAAGAGAGCACCCGACTCAGGAAGTCAAATACTTCTCTGCCAGTGTCCTTGTTCCCCTGCCCTTTCTTTCTCCACGGGAAGCTTGAAAGATCACTCACTGTCCCACCCACTGGGTCTCAGGAGGGAAGAGGCTCTACAGTCTGGGAGATGGGAGATTCACCTCCTTTAAAGATCCTCTGGGCCAATTCAGAGAAGGGTCCACTTTACAGAAAGCCCTGCAGAGCTGCTGGGTGACACACCCACAAGGGCAGGGGCCTCTGGTGCTGAGGTGGCTAGTCCCAGCACCACAGCCAGGAGCTGTAAACCTGCACTGTGCAGACGGAGCTAGAAGCACCCATATTATATTTCATCCACTCCACCCTCTGGCTGGTCCTCAGAAGCAGGTACCACCTGGCACCCAAGATTACAGCAGAGGTAAGTGGGGCACAAGGAGGTCAAGTCTTTCCCTTTAAGAAGTCGCCACAAAGGAGAGAGAGAACAAAAGGGAATGCCCTGCCACAGAGGCAGGGTGGGATTGGGGGGGTGGGGGGTGGGAGGCATACTGGGATCAGTGGTGGTGGAGAATGGGCACTGGTGGAGGGATGGGGACTCGATCATTGTATAACTGAAATCCAAGCACAAAAAATTGTAAGTCTACAACTGTACCTCATGGTGTTTCACTAATAAAAATTAAAAAAAAAAAGAAGTCACAGAGCAAGTCTCGGTCTGTTGTTCAGAGTTCAGCTCTTTTCTCTCTTTTCTTTGGAGCCAGCTTCGTGGCCAGGGCTGGGGATCAAAGCCGGGGCTCCCACATGCAAAGTCACCTTCTTGGCCCAGAGCTCCTGCTCTTGATCACCACATTCCCACCTGAGGTGCAGAGGTGCTCAGAGGGCAGAGGTCTGCACACTGGCAGCACCATTTCAGAGATGAGTTAGTGCTCGGGGGACAGGAGGCATCGCCTGCGCTGGAGGGTTCTTGAGGATTGTATGAAAGAGTTGCACACAAAACTCGGAAGGCCGAAAGTTATAGTTTATTGTGCAGTTTAAGCAGATGGGTCTGAGTCCCTGTCCAAATGTCCAGGCCTCTCCTTTACCTGTGTCTGATGTTACTCATCCCATCCCTGGCACTGCCTTGTCCCGTGTCCCATGTTCCTGGTCCTGTCCCACTCGTTGCACGCCCCTCCAGTGTCCAATGGCCCAGCCCCAGCCCCGTCTGCTCTCCCTCTTGCGTGCTCTTTCTGGTCTGGAATGCCACTCCTGGGCCACTCCTGATATACCACAGTGTTCCCTGACGTCCTGTCCAGCCTGTCACCACACGCACGGGGGGAGAACCCTGTGCTCGGAACTTGTCACTGGGCCTCCCAGTTGTACCCCAGAAGTTCCGACAGTACTGTCCCAGCTTTCCTAGTCTCCAATCACGGCCACATGCACGTGGGTGAGAATCCTGTGCTCAGGATCTGCCCCTGCCTGGGCGTCTGAGCCTAAATCTGAGCTTTCGTGGGCATCTGAGCCCCGCCTGTCTGGGCCTGCCTGTACACAGTCCTACCGGGTCCTGCGGTCCACCTGGGTGTATGCGAGAGAGAGGAGTGTGGGAGACGGGAGGGTCGGGTCAGGGGTCTCCTTTGATCTGCAGCCATCTCCCACCCCAACCATCCCATTATCTGTTCTGACTGGCTACCTGTCCAATGGGCTGCCTGTTCCATGGGAGAGACTTAAAGTGATGGACTGAATTCATCTGGCACTGTGTCATCAGCCCTGCTTAAAGGAAACTCATGGGGCCTTGTCAGAGTCAGTCCAAATGTCACATTTACTCTCCAGATAACAGGGCGGCTCACTCACAAAATCCTTAACCTTTTCATAATAATTGCTGAGGATCACACCCTGTAATTTTCTGTCACCTCACTGGTTTGTATCTTCCAAATTTGGGAAATTCAGAGCTCATTTAAGCAACAGAGGCGGGAGGAGAGATTCTGGTCCCTCAGAAATTTATCATCAGCAGGAATTCACTCCTGCAGAGTTGAGAAGGTCAGAAAAGGCCTCCTCAGCGAGGTCTCCTGTGGGCCCGGGCTCTCCGGGCAGGGTCCTCATCAGAGTGCAGAGAATCCCCATAGGGCCCCTCAAGTGGGAGGAAGAGCTTGATCTGGCCCAAGTCCAAAGGACTGATGGGGCAGTGTTAAAAATAGCTCAGCCTGGCAGGGTGCCTCAGGCAGGACTGTTTTCCGCCCAGTGAAGACCCATCTGTCCCAGGACCGAAGTGCTTTGGGATGACAACAGGTGGCCGCGCTAATTGAGGCCTGCCAGGAGACAGTGTTAGAAGTCCAGTGTGGTGAGAAACAGTCCTGCAGAGCTCCCTGGGAGAGAACTATGAAGACGACAATACAGGGAAAATTCCTTTGAAGGGGAGTAAAAAAGTGATATGCCAGAAGCATTTGAGAGGATCCAAATTTAACATGTAATCACAACAATGAAAACAACTTCACAGATTTAATTAAGGCTTAAAATTTGGAGCGGGATCACCAAAATACATAGTTGAAGAGAAGTACAATCTTTCTCTTACTGACTGATATATTCAGGAGAAATAAAAAAAAAAACAGGGGGCTGGAGAGATAGTACAGCGAGTAGGGAGCTTGCTTTGTATGTGATCTAACCGGGGTTTGATCCCCAGCATCCCATATGATCTTCCACATACCATCAGGAGTGACTCCTGAGTGCTGAGCCAGGAGTAACCCCTGAGCATTGCCAGGTGTGGCCAGGAAAACACAAACAAAAGAAATACAAAACAGGACTCTAATTTTGTTCATGTCCATGTCACCTCTTTCTGGAAAGTTCTCCTTGGCCTTAGTGCATGTGCTTGAGCTCTGCCTGTATTCTGTCCCTATCTGGGTGTCTGAGCCTGCCTGTACACAGCCATCTGTCCGGGTGCGCAGCGCTACCAGGTCCTGTGGTCTATCTGAGTGTATGCATGAGAGAGGAGTGTGGAGAGGAGAGGGCAGGGGTCTCCTTTTGTCTGTGTGCATCACCCAGCACTGGGACTACAGAAGGTTGTTCTCCTCTTACCTGGGCCCCTCGGTCGTTGACCAGCTCTACAGACCACCTTCCTTCGTACTGAATCCACACAAATATGCCTCCATCTGCATCACACGTGGCCAGTTTCTGGTACGGCTCGTTCCACCTCACCAGCACTACCTAGAAAATAAGCGAGAAGAAACTCACCACCAAGAACAAGCCAGTGGGCCAGGGTTACTTCTCCAATGTGATCAAGCCCCAAAACTAAATACCACTCATGGCCAAGGAAGAGGACTGGGTGAGAAGGGGGTGACTCACAGAGAGGACAGGGCCCGGCCCCCCAGCTTCCAAAGAGACCCTTGACCTACTGCAAGGAAGAAAGAAAGGGCCAGAGCCCTGGGTTCCAGGCCTGCCTAGCACAAGTGAGAGGATCTACCATCTGCCAGTCCCATGCGCTGCGACAACCATTTGCGGAATCTGTCGTGACTGGAATCAGGGAATTCATTTAGTGCCAAAAGCGGAATGGGGGCCTATTTAAATTTTTTTTCATAAAGTGAAGTTTATCTTTTTTAAACTTTATTTCCAAATGATTCAGGATCTATACCTGACCAATTCTGAAAAACAAAACAAAACAAAAACCACCAAAAAACCAAAACCACGCAGAGTTGAAATATCTAAGCTTAACACAATGATAGCAGAACTGTGACCTGAGCTCATTAAACCATATTCAGGTGTGCACCCCCCTCCCTCCCCCCACATGCCCTCCATGGCACAAAGCCAGCATCAACACGTTAAGATTTATCACAGAATCAACATGAAGAAACTATATGTTTCAAAGTAAGAATACATGGATACCGGGAAGAACAGCACGTGGCTAGCTGGGACGACTCAAACAACTGCTTGCAAGGCCACAAGTTGTGTCTGGGAGCTCTGGCTCTGCACGCCACTTGCAGGAGTGTGTGAGTACCATGCCCGTCAGCAGCGACCCCCACAGTGAGTAGCTCTCATGGTCCAGCTGGCATCACTGGAACATGAGCGAGCACCGTGGCCCCAAAGAGGCTGGCGACACCACAGTGAAACGTAACCGTATCACAGCAGACCAACCCCTCTGTTACTCCGACAACACATGGGAGGAGGGGTAAAGAGAAGAAAGTGCTATTATTCACTCCCTCGCCTGAAAGCACTTTATGGGATTCAGAAAATGCCCAAAAACCTGAGGGACGACCAAAGCCCAGTAACCTGTGTGGATAAAGAACTATGACGTGGTGCCCAAGTCAACACCCTGGGGTGCACTGTGGCAAATGTTCCCTGACTGGCCTAGGCTAGTGGCCATGATGAATCCTTCCAGGAATAGGATGCCAGGTGATTAATATGGAGATGGGGGAGAGGCCCTCTTGGGAGTGAAAGTGCAGGTGGAGTTATCCACCCCGACCATGCCCCAGACACCCAGCTGTCCACTGCTGCGTCAATCTAATGAAGCCCACCATTCATCTGCAGGGCCAGCTGGCTGGTCATCAAAGATTTCCTCTTTGGTCTCCGGGAACTGTGCCAATTATCCCACTAACCCTTGTGAACTGTGGCCCTGGTGTGAATGGCTTCTAAACTCCATCATGTATTCTAAAAGTCACAATGGATGGAGTTCAGTGGTAGAGCATGTGTGGAGCCCTACGTTGGACCCGTGGCAATACACACATGCAAATGAGGCGAGGACTATTAAGGCCCCAATGCCCAGACTACTTCTCATACCCTCAAATCACAGACCAGCACGGAAGCCCTGTCGCTGCTGAGAGTCGTGCCAACGGTACGGTTGGCATCTGGCTCTGGGGTTGTGACCCGCACACCAGAGAACTAGGCGACAACCCAGCCTACTGGTGCTATGTCACTTTCAGTGTGAATTCCCCTCCCCTTAAAAAAACAAAAACAACCCCCCCCCCCAAGTATGGGGTATGCCCCTACGTAAGTAGTTTAGGCTCCAGAATGCAAAGCGTTTGCAAATGTGCAGAAGGAAAGAACAGAATCGCAGAGAAGAATAAAATAGAACACAAAATATCTGCTGGCTGCAAATGTGCACAGACAAAGACTATTCAGTCTTTCAGATCGAGAGGACAGCATGGACAAGGCAGAACAGAGAACTGTCAGGACTTTCTACCTTTCAGGGCGCTGTCCGATACGTGAGATGCTCCAGTTTCTGCTCTTTCCCAGTGAACATGGATGTGCTTCCTAACTGCCCTTAGTATCTCTGGAACAGCAGTACCGTGTGGAAGGGGCATATTGTATTAAACAAATGGCTTGCCTAGGAAACCAGTGCTATAGGCCCAAGTGACCCAGTCTACAAGTGTTTGTTTCATCCTCTGCAACTGACCCCTGCTGGATGGGGGTTGAAGGTGCCAATCTGACTGGCACTAGACACTTTTTAAAAGATGTGTAAAAAATTCTCAATTTTTCTTTTATTTAAAGGAGGAAATTTATTATTCCGCAAAATTGTATGGCTCTAATTCCTTTCAAATACTGCAGAAGTCAGAGAGTTGTGAACTGCAACTGCCTGATTTTAACCTGCCCGTACTAGGTACTGTCTGCTAACCTGAGTTCTGTGATCCAAGGCCAGGAACAGCTGCCATTCAACATTGTCCCCTGGCAGCCACTAGTCAAATCTAATCCTTCTGGCATGGCCCCTCCCTGTGCTGGACCACCGAGGGCAGGGACAGACACATGTCACCCAGGGCACTGACACCTGGTTATCGGAACAGACTGTAACAGAGTGCTCCTTATGATGACAGCTAATGACTGTTGCTCAATTTAGTCTTTTGGCTATAAACAGTTACCGAAAACTATTTCAAATGGGTCATTTTCAACTCCCCGTGGCACATTAAAAACTGCAATTAAGGTAACATGGTTGTAGTAGAGTTAACATTCATGGTGTTGACCGTACAAAGTCACTGCATCTTCGCAATTGCCAGTGTGCCCAAGACCCTCCCCCACTGTCCCTATGTCCCTTTGGACTGCCTCTTCCTTCCCCACAACATGCTCCCGCATCCCCTCTCTGGTACCCTGAACTCTTGAGACCTGTGGCCATTGAGCAGGGTCTCCTCCCTTGCTTTGTTTCAGTCTCACTCCCGCCAATACTGGAGGCCCTGCAAAGTCGCAGTCAGCGGCCGGGAGAGCATGCCAGCCCACACGGGTAGAGGCAGCAAGTCCAGGTTCACTCTTTAAAACCAGGTTTTAGAGGCCCGAGTGAGTACAGCGGATAAGCACTTGCCTTTCATGAGACCAACTGGGGTTTGATCCCCGGCATCCCATTTAGTCCCCTGAGCAGAGTAATTCCTGAGTGCAGAGCCAGGAGTAAACCCTGAACATACAGGGTGTGACCCCACCTCTCTGCCCCCCACCCCAAACAAAGAGAAAAAAATCTAAATTTTTAATTGTTATGCTCAAATTAGTGACTTAATTTTTAAAGTAGTAAAACCACACAAATCTTTAAATAATACTAAATAATCAAGAATTTTCAAGTAGTCAATGAAAGCCAAATTCCCAAACTCCATTCAGATTTCATGATTGTCCTGCACACAGGCAGGCACAGACATGCAGGTGGCTACAATTTGGTCCCTGAGGACACATGTTATTGAACTCCCCAACCACGCACAGACTTCAGAATGCCCCCCCCAAGAGCCTGCGATCCCCAAAAGCCAGCCTGTCAATGACTTTCTCGAGAGCACACCCAATTCCCCGGGACCCCTTCCCACTAGGGAAGAACTGGAGGGAGTCCCACCTCAGATACTTCTGTTGTCCCCACCCAGCTATGTATGGATGGCTGCAGAATTGGGTCACATCAGTGACAAAACCTTCATATTTATTTATATGTTAACCTACTTATTAATTATAAACACTGTGATTAAAGTTGCCGATTATAAAACTTCAGACATTCAACGTCCTAATTCCAAACTCACCAGAAGTGTCAGCATCCATCCATCAATGACCCAAGACTTTCCCACTCTGCAAACACATTTTTTAAAAATGGGGGGCTGCAGAGATAGAAGAGTGGCCAGAGCATTGGCTGTGCATGTGGCCGACCTGGTTTAATTCCCGGCACCACACATGGTCCCCGGAGCCCTGCAGAACCAGGAGTAAGTCCTGAGCACCCCCGGGTCTGGCCCCCAAATAAAACAAAACAAAAATTTCTTCTGGGTGGGTCACATGCTTACACTAGTGTTGAATCTTACGATTTTGATGTACATAGTGACTCCCCTCTACATCACCAAAATGTTCAAGATCCTTGACGAAAGCCCGACTGTTATGAGCAGTCTTCCTCCTTCTATCTCATCCACTCCCTCCGTCTTCGCATTCTCCTTGCTATAATTCGGGGCCCAAGATTAATTCTCTTTCCAAGAAAACGGCCTGCTTAGCTATGGTCCGCATCATACACACGCAGAGGAAGGAAATATTTTAATATTCGTAATGGTAAAGATTTTCTGGTCAGAGGTTGAAGGGATCGTGAAGCAGGCAGGCAGGTAGATAGGGAAGGGCCCCACGGCAATGAGTTCTTGGGAAGGAATAAGACGGGAAGCCCCAAGGCTGCAAAGCCCCACCTGTGGACACAAGAAGTAAGACCTGATAAGATCTTTAGCTGGCTCCAGCACAGACCCAGAGAAGGTTGGACCCCCTCTGAGAGAAACTCCAGTAGGAGCAAAGGCCAGGAAAGGGATATCAAAGACCACCAACGACTCCCAACTCTACACCTTTGCTGGAGTGCTGGCAAAAGAACTCTTACCTACCTGCGCAAAACCCCACTTGGGCAGCCTGGGACAAACTCCATAAAAGCCAACTTGGACAAGGAGGCGTGGACATACGCTGTCGGCGCCATGTGTTGCCTGAGCACATGTGTTGCGCGCATGTTCCCTCCTGAGACGTGGGCTTTCATCTCTAACGCGGGGTGTGTACTGGGCCTCTCTCCACTGGGGAGAAGCCAGCATTCTCTCTTGAGCACTCACCCCGCCCGACTCCTCAAAACTTGCTAATAAGGTCGGGTTTTGTTTTTTCCATTCCACTGCTCATCTTCTGAAATTCTTTCCTGAGAGAAAGGCGAAGAACCGCAAAGCCCTGGGCTAAGTGACGACCCCTTTCCTGCAAAGAGCAAGGCTCATGGTGGATTCTCATTAGTCTGAGATTTCCCCTGCCATGCTCCG